GTTTCAGAGCGCTCTTCTATGGGGTGTCGTCAGTGCGAGACCAAATTAATTCTACCTGTCATCGAAACAAAGAGGGATCCCGCTTGCTTTCGTATTTGCATATGATTAGGTGGAGGGAATTGAAATCTTTTATACCAATCAAGGCGAATTTTTAGAGTACATTCAACTCAATCCCGGCTTACTTTTGATTCCCCATCACAAATTGCTCCAATTGTGTTTATCACTGAGCGGTGACTACATAGATATAATCGACTAAGGAAAACGAGCGAATGAGCATTGCAAATATGATTGCGGCGTTTTTTAAGCTGCGATTCTTTATGCAGGATTAGAAATCTTTACATCTCTTGAGTAAGTCTCATCGTCCATTAATTAATCTTAATTTTTCAAGAAGTTTTGAAAAATCTCTTGCGCAAATTTGGTGTTCTTGGTTCCATGCTCTTTCCTTCTGTGTCTCTATACTTAAGAATAATACAGCCCGAAGGCCTCTTATGAAACTGAACAATGTGTTTCTTAAAAGTCCATAATTACGCACCGTGTTAAAAAATAGTCCCAGTCTTAAAAAATAGTCCCAGTCTGGAAGCTGATATTCCAACAGTTTTATCTTGAAGGCATTCAACTATTCTGACCATACCTTACGATAAATTTGATTATATCATCATGTGTCCACACTTTGCTAAAAAACAAAGAGAACAAAGGTTGGGCGTATTATTTATCACGGAAGCAAATTAACCTACGCTGAGCCATTAGTGGAATAATTAGACCTTTTTCAATGATTGAACATAATATATAGATTTAGTCATGCCTGAAAGCGAAGCTTCAGTAAGTTTATTCTGCAGCCCCTTTCATGTAATCAAAATTCCTCGGCACTGGCTGTCTAAGAGCAGCTTATTCAGTGCTAATCAAAAGAATTTAGGGACTAGTTCAGCGGTAGGGGGGGAGAGAAAAAGGGAGGGGAGTGATGGGGTCTGGCCGAGAAATTGCCTAATAACATCCAAAGTGATCAAAACGCATTCGCAGTCAGTGGTATTTTCAAGCAACTGAAGACCATCGTTGAATGTTTTCAATTTCAGATGTAGTGTATGACGTCAGTAACTGTTGAAATGATATTTTATTGAGCGTGATTGATAATTTCGGTTTGGAAAATGAGCCAACATTGAAAGAAGCGCGGGCAATCGACTTCGAGTTAAGATATCACAGGTCGATTGATCGAGGGGTAAACGTGAGAACAGTGAATCAGTGAAACAATACGCCAGAATCGTATGGGCTTCTCTCATATCCTCTCTTGATGTAACAAGGTATGGCTGTTTGCCGTTCCACCAATTTTCTCCTAACGTGTCAAACATCTCTGATTAAGTGTAGAAAATTAAAAAGAAAAGTCACTTTCAACTTTTAACGTCTTTTCTTCGGACTATTAGCGTTTCGTGATTGTCCTATACCTGAAAATTTGGATTTTTCTGTGATATAACACGGTAACCTCTGCTGCATATGGCAGTGTCGTTAAACCTAGCCTGTCTATGATCCTGGCAACTCTAGCCACTGAAATATGAAGTCTGTTTACAATCAGTTTCTTGCCACGCAAAAGGTTGATTCAATCGAACAAAACCCCGATCTAGATTATCTTATTTCAAACTGATAATAAAGAGAGACTTAGGATTCAACAGTGAAGATATTTGCTGAAAAAATACCATTTGTATTGGATATCATTCGTACAATATTACACAAGTTAGTTCCAAACATCAAAGAGAGGGAAAAGTTTTAGATGGTAGCCTCTCGTGAAAGCCAACAAATGAATATCCTGGAATTTGAGTTGTTGCGACATAATAACATGAAACAAAACAATTAAATTTATTGATCTAAAAAAGAATTAATTTGACATCTCACTAAGACTTTCACTGGTTCACTCTGACAAAAATTTACCATAAGATTATTTGAAAAGCCTTGAGTATTTATTGAAATTGGCCAACTCAAGGCAAGACTCAGGTTATAAACAGCTTTGTCTTCCACTTTTCCACTAATACAGTAACCTGCTGGAAGAACTGAGGGTCCCCAATAGGGTTCTTCAATCCCGCGATTCCGACTAAAATTTTCACTCGTTCCCGTAATCCTGACGGTTTATACCGGACAATCTCGATCCCGATCAATTTTTTTTTTCTTAGTCCATTACCAGATGACTTCAAATTCGGTGGGTGATGATTCCTCACCCACCACTGATCTGTTTAAGTCTTTGCTCACCTTAAAGTGTTAGTATATCTTTTTTCATCAAAACGATGATATCGTTCATTAAAGAAGTTTTCAAAGTTTTGCACAAATAACATACGCTAGTCACAGTTACGACTTTAAGGTTACTGTCAACAAAATAGGGTGCTTCCGGAATAACTATCCTACGCGCGCTTCTTTTAAAGAAACCATAGAAACCTTTCTACTACTATAAAGCTTTTAAAGTATAGATTGTGAATAATAATAAAATTCTTCACAGTTTCTGTTGTAAAAGGCGTGTGCAAGCCTTTAAAAACCAAACTGATGGTGTTTGCTTTATTAATTACCGGCCTCCGCGTTACCGCGGGCCACGAAATAAAATAGACAGCAAAACTAAGCAGGTAATAGGCCAACAACGAGTGAGACTTTTTCGATATTCTTATTGGTTCATGAGAAAATCTAATAAGCGATGGATAAGTATTGATTTGTCAGCCTCTAATCCTTTGCGCATTGAAGAAACTTTCAAATTTGTAATTGTATGTTTATTATTTTGATTTGAATAGAAAATCAAAAGAAATAAGGCTTCACTTCCAACGCTTTCTTTTTTTTCGCAAGTGTAGTCGATAAAAAGGTTTGCTAATGTTACAGAATTATTCGACTTTGAAAATCTACCAAAAGTGGAGCTTGCGTGTGTTTTGATTTCTCACCACTGCGAATAAAAGCTATATAAAAATTGCGATTTTTTAAAGAGATTTTCTTTTCGTTCCATCATTCATCAGAAGGTTGTCGTTTACCTTTACTTCTTGGAGAACTTAATTGATTTGTTATTTGCGTCAGAAGCCGAGCGTGCTTTTAAAACCTACTTCTATTAGTTCTTGCAATTTCTGGTTCCAGTCAGACACCAGAACTGATAAAATTTTCGTACCTTAAAGGAGCAGGGCTGTAAATATCTTGGAAACTGCTGAAAAATACTTTTGAATCAAGTTTCGAGAAGAAATTGTCCTTTAGGTCGCAGTGCCTGATCATCCCAATGTTCTCTCTCCTGAGTGTCTGAGATAGGCTTTCCAGCCCACAAGGCAGTTTTGAACCTGGAAAAAAGGGCTATGCGCATCAATTTCCTTTAATGAATTACAACGAGGCATTACATGTCCTTAATCATGATTTAACAACTCTAAGTGACAGACGCGCCCATCTATGCCAGGTTTATATTGATAGACTCCGGAATGAGATCCACCCCTTGCATTTTATGCTCCCCAGACAGAATTATAATCTTAGATCTGGTATTAGCCGCTCCACGAGTCTTACTTGTAGGACCAAGCGCACGCAAGAGTTTGTCACGCAAGAGTTTGTCACGCATAAGTATACCCGGTGGCTTGTACAATTATACTTCTAGTATGTATTGGATTTATTGTATTATATTTTAGTACTATCTGTTCTGTAAATAGCTCTGTAGTTCAGCCATTCTGTGTATTGCTGCAATGAGTCTTAATAAACAGTCATTTATTTATTTATATATTTTATATAATCTTACTCCGATCTCTGTGTTACACTGTCGTGGAACAAATCCAGATCACCAGAAGACTGCGTGATGATCAACCCACTGGAGTCTCTGCAGTTTAATGAAAGTAACTTGATTAACAAAGACATGGGTCAGACTCAACATGAACTAAACGGCAAAGCTCATAAGAACACAAGCTTCATTACGCGAAACGGACGCCCCTACTGGTTCAACTTTAACCGATTATTTGGTGGTATCGAAGGCAGGACAACATAACCAGTGCGAAAGCCTTGCAAATGGTTTATCAAATTCACGATCCGTCTGATGAAGACGCTCGCGAAAAAGTTCTGATTTCCTTCTAACAGGTATAGGTTTTGATATGCTGGAAACTAAGCTTAGTAACATAGTTCCCGAAAATTTTTCTCAAACTTTTTCCGGAATTTCCTAAACAAAAGCTCTAAAATTCTTATAGAAATGTCTAAAACTCTCTAAAAACTCTCTAAAATTCCCGAGAATTCTGATAAACTTCATTTCTTAGATCTATAGAACAAGGAACAAGGAGTTTTAAATCGTAAAACATGATTTATTTTCATGGTTCAAAAGTTGCAAAAACATTAACGTTTGCTCAGATATTTATTGATCTTTCTTTTTAAAGCAATTTCCTATGTAAACTTTCTCTCGAATCAACGAGAACAAATGGCGTAAAAGACTTTAGGGTAAGACCACACTGAATCTTTCTTTAAGACTCTGACCATAAAGCCACCATGATAGAAAAAGCCAACCTGATGTTTAGATATCTGCACGGGCTTGCTCCAGAATATCTTGTTAAAAGTTTTAAAAGTGGCGTAAATCTGCATATAACCTCAGGGAATCTGAAAATAAGCTCAATGTGTCCTTGAAGTGGAACTGGTAACTGGTGACTTAATATATCCAAAAATTGGCATTTGGGTGGAACTCGGATTTCATACGTAGGTGTTTGAACACGGATAAATGACGATCGTTTTGATCTCAGTAAAAGTGAAGTGAAGGCTATTTCGATTTCACAGGTGAGAATTCGCGCCAGTCAGATAATTTTTATGATTCGTTATTAAATATTTATTCATATTGGCTAAAGTTGAACGAACTGCCGTTGTTGATTTCCTATTTCCGTTGAGCTCTGTCTTGACCACCTCATAACTAGGTTGTATTCACTCTGACGAGGGGCTAACACTCAAACCGTCAGCGTAACGTCTTAAAAATTAGCTATTTCTGCATGGAATATTTAAAATTATTTATCATCAATTTGAAATTGTGCTTAATCAAGANACACCAAAGTGCTTTTACTCCTTGTCATACTCCCACGGTATACATAGCAGGCTTAGAGTAAATTGGTTTTATTTCAATCTATCTTGATTGATTAAACATGTTTAGTAAATTAACATTTATTAATCTTTAGATTAACACCAACCAAATCGTTTTAGCCAGTCCAGTCCAACCAGTCCATTCCAATCCAGTCCAGCCAGTCCAGACCAACCCAGTCCAGCCAGTCCAGACCAATCCAGTCCAGCCAGTCCAGACCAATCCAGTCCAGCCGGTCCAGACCAATCCAGTTCAGCCAGTCCCGACCAATCCAGTCCAGCCAGTCCAGACCAATCCAGTCCAGCTAGTCCAGACCAATCCAATCCAGCTAGTCCAGACCAATCCAGTCTAGCCGGTGCAAACCAATCCAGTCCAGCTGGTCTGGAATAATCCAATCTAGACTAATGTAATTTATTTATGAATATTTGTTATGCTTACCTCATCATCTTCTAGATCATGATCTTTGTCTGTCTCCTATAAGATGGTAAAATGCAAATGACAAATAAATCTTTACACATTCAACATCTCTAAGTAAACATCTCAATATGGCACTACATATATATATACCAAGCCTTCCTTTGTTTCCTCTTTTTCACTTTCAGCCATAAAATTTCACATTCCAGTCTACCGAAGCAACCATTAATTTCTATCTGTATCTACAGGGCTAAATTAATTTGATTAAACTAAAAGGGTTTGTATATCACCATGGTATTGATTATTTTTAATCAAACCACCCAAAGGTAATTTTCCATTGAGAAGGTTTGTTGTTACAAATTCAGATATGTTTTTGTTGCAGTTAATGTCCATAATGACTTTTCATTAAATTAGAATGTTTCAATAACTTTGTTCCTTTCTCTTCGACATCATTTACTGTTTCTGGAGCAAATTAAAGGAGGCAGGTTATAAAAAAAATTGTAACTTTTGATTCAGTTTGTTATTTAAATATGTGAGTACCATTTGATGTTTTCGCATGCAACAAGATGGTCCAGCTCAATACGTCCTAGCTTGTAATTCTGATGATTGCAGTATGCTGAGGTAATTGAAATGACGTCAGTCCCTATACAGGACTCGCATACCTTCCATATGACCAGTACAGCTATATTACAAGATAAATGAAAAAATGTATGACTATGTGCTTTGCAGAACCACTGTAAGTGTAATGGCATCTACTGACAAGCATTCATGATTTCCTATAAAATTAATTGTATGGGAGGAGGTTTTGCGGCAATTGACCCCATGTTGGCCGAGAGGCTTAGGGTTTAATAATTGTATTGAATATCTTTCAGCTTTCAAACTTTCAAGTTTGTATTCATTGTAATTGGTTGCCATATTCATTTTTTGTACCTCAAGCCCTCAAATGTTGTAAACTGATTTTCTTTACTTAAACTGTGTAATTATATAATTTTGTTGTAGAACATATTCTAACGTGTAATGTTGTCTGGATGGCATTAGTTATTGAAGCTCAAGTGTTTAATGCTGCATGGTGTTCTTACAAATACTGATACCCATTCCACAAAGGAAACTTTGATTCAAGTAATTGGTTACAAGAAATGCGAGTTTTAAAACGTGAAAATCTGGAAAGGTAAGGATCCTCCATCAAAAAGTAAAAAGCTGTTTATATGCAGCAAAATGTTGCTTCCCCCAATAACGTTTTCTTGTATTATCACTCATGAACAGGTCTTTTTAAATTTATAATTACATGAAATCTTGCAGGTGTATGGCACACTAATTTTTCTCCTAAGTCTATTAATAGTGCATTTTTATGGGGATTGGTTTTGCCTGTAAATGTATTGTCAAATCAAGTTTAGTGCACAGCCTATGCATGAAATTTATGTAAAAAAAATCTTGTATGCTTCTTAAAACTAGTTTATGAGAATAAAAATTATATATATATATATATTAAACACTGGATTATTGGATAATGCAATTCAAGACTTTTTATTGGCCTAGCCATTATGGTATATGAGCCAATATACCATAANTACGCGTCAGCTTAAAATCAAAAGGGAGCTAAAAAATCCAGTTTCTTCTTACAAAATAATAATTTCTTGGGGGCGTTTTTAATAAAACAATTATTCCACTCGCGCTTGTTGGATATGAGATGATTATAGCCAACTCGGCGCTACGCGCCTCGTTGGCTATCTATCATCTCATATCCAACGCGCGCTCGTGGAATAATTGTTAAATATATATATATATATATATATATTTAATAGATAAACTAGTTTATAAGAATAAAAATGAGTTACCTACTGCAAATATGGCTTTTCACAATGATAGTTTTCGGGCTTAAAAAATATCACCGTCTCATAAACATTTTCCTAAATCTACTGAGCAGCTAAAATCCTCAATCCCTAACCCTGACAGCTCATGATAAATTATTCCGCGACAGGAGTGAGAAGAAAATGAAAGTCAGAAGCAACCGAGCCTGTTCCCACATTCTGAACATCATGCAATTTAGACATGGCATACATGCCACTAATTTTCCATTGAACCAGGGTACATGCATAGTTATTTTATAATGGTGTTTGCAAGTCGTGGAAAATGGTTGGGTTGAAATATATTACAAAGTTTTGCCAGCAGGTTACTGCATTGGTGGTAAAATGGAAGACAAAGCTGTGCATTCAATGTATAACCTGAGTTTTGCCTTGAGTTGGCCAACTTTAACAAATACTCAAGCCTTTTCAAAATCGCATATGTTAACATTTTGTCATCATGATAATGAACAAGGGAAAGTCTTAGTAGATAGTCAAATGAATACTTTTCACATCAGTAAAATTTATTGTTGTGCTTCGTGTAAACATGCCACAATTCCACCTTCCAAGAAATTCATATATTTGCTATTGTCTAAAACTTTTCATCCTCTTTAATGTGGCCAATAACAACATTAAATCAGTCAAGATAAATCTAAAGAGAAAACTTCATTGATGTTTGGAATTAACTTCTGTAATGTACGAATAAATGCCAGATATTTTTCTATAACTATCTTCATTATCAATTTCGAAATAAGATATTCTAGTTCTGGCATGTGTTCGATTCAATCAATCTATCGCATGGCAAGAAACAGATTGTAAACAGATTTCGTATTTCAGTAGCTAGGGTTGCCAGGATAATGGGCATGCTAGGTTCATAGACACTGACATATGCAGCAGAGGTTGCTGGATTAAATAACAAAAAAATCTAAATTTCCAGGCAGAGGACGATCACAAAACGCGAATAGTCGAAAGAGAAGACGTTAGAAAATATTGAATTCATACCCTCTATCTGAGGAAGGAAACGTTCTCTGTCCTCGAAAATTCGTTCAAAACGTACAATGATCATTTTGGGTGATGATGGTTATTACCGTAGAGAACGCGCCCTCGATCAGTCAGCGTTTTACCGCCCACATCACCCTTACAGGTTTAGTATACTGATTTCCAGCGCCAGTGTCTCGTTCTGCTCGTCAATAAACTGTGCTGCCCAAACATTGTAGTCTATGCACCTGAAGAGAAGTTTTCATACTGTGGAGCCCACTTTTGGAATAACTTGCCCGGAGAATCCCGGCAAGCGACCCCTTTGTACGATTTTAAGGCAAAATCGAGTCGCTACAGTTCTAAGTATAATATTTAAACACGTCCTCTAAGAAATGCGGCGTCTGTTGATTTCAATTTTATTCTGTTGTGATTGTAGCTTGATAGGCAGATAGTTACTTCATTGCAATTTCATAACGTTGATGAAAATACCCTGTATAAATAAAATGAAATGATCGTATAGAGAAAGATGAGTAAGATTAACAAACTAGTGAATAAAAGGAAAGAAGGTTGATCGAACGTAATTCTTCCTTTGTTGGTAATTCATGTGACACCTTCTGGAAAAGTAGAAAGAAATCAACGCAGACTTCACAATATTAAGAATAACCTAAAGGTTGGGAAATCAAATTACTTCAGCAAAGATAACTAAGTAAGAGACCGTTTCTAGCAAGGCTTAGCCCCCAGAGAAATAACAGTGCAGTGTACCTTCGGGATGAACAGCAAATTTATATATATACACTGGTTCTATATTGTATTCACAGATGTTTTTTTTCTAACCGTGCTTGCATTCAGCGTAGTACGTGTCCCATTAGAGGTATATCAGCTTAAAAAAAAAAAACCATTCTACTGGCATACTAATTTTATAGTATAATTCAGCTTGTCATTTTGAACATAACTATGAATGGAAAGCGAGCACACAAATATGAAAGCATGGAGTGTTTGATGCGAAGGTTTTGTAGCATTCTTTTGAAATGTCTGGACAAATGATATTTCGATCGAATTCAAGACTTACAAAAAGTTATAAATATAGCTGAAGGAAAACGTTTTACTTCCTTACCGCGAAATGCAGATAAGACTTCTTTAGCGCTGAAGTCACTTCCTCTAACGCTGAAGCGACAGACAGGTGTCTAGCGAGATTGGAGGGTTTCGAAAAACAATCGAAAGCAACAGTTTGATCAGTTCCTCTAACGCTGAAAGGTATATCTAGCGAGAAGGGAAGGCCTCCAAAAATAATCGAAAAGCGAGAGTTTAAACGATCAGAGACGCGGATTAGTTGATCAATACGTTGGTAATCAAGTGTGGCTGCGTATATTTGCCAGTAAGTCACACGTGCACCATCATGAAAGAGTCAAAATCAGCTACCCCTTGTAATTCACAGTCGAGTCAAACAAGGCAAGTGACCACGTTTCCTACTTCTAAACCAGTGTTATTTGTTTGAGAAAAATCGTATGTACACAGGTACCTCTCAAGTTTCTGCAAACATTATATTTTAGCAATGTATTTTTTTCAAATCGTATCCTAACCGAGACCAACCTAAGCAAAACTTGCGCGTAATCTGTCAAACCGTCAGCACGTTTGGGCAAAACAATCCATGCCGGGAACCTACTTTTGGGCCTTCAGGAGAATCTTAAAGAAAAAAAGAGCGCAGAGCACTTCACATCATTACTGGTTCTTTGAATCGACCGAATAGGAAATATATCCAAGCGAGAAAAAGTCATAATGATCAACGCTCCAAGAAATCGAGCGCTTTTGAAAAATTAAGCAAGGAGAAGTTTCGGTCACATTTTGCCTACCTATATTTTTGTCAAAGGACTGACAGTCAATAAATTAGAAAAATATAGTATTAGGACATTTTTGAAAATAAAGGTTGTTCATGAGGTCTCTTCATTTGTCATTCTTAATTTCGCTTATGGTAATGGCTGAAAATACATGCAAGCTATAACAAGGAGAAGGTTACAATAGAAAAGGCATTGAATGGAGATATATCCTACTTTGTGTCAAGCGCAGTTTTTCCAGCTCTTCGGTTATGATTCAAATGTCAAGGAGTTTTAACGATACTTGAGCCCTTTCATGTACAGGCGCTATGATTACTATCAACTCATTGAGTTCCATGAAAAGCAAAGTCACCAGGAAACAAATAAATTTAGGAATCGGTTTAATCGCAGTAGACTTACTTGAAGACACGTATCTTCCATTTCCGCAGATGTTAAAGCCGTTATTTAAACGCTCAGAAAAAATCCTCTTCGCTAAGACCGAGGTTCCTGTATCAAACCAACAAAACAGTTTGGGGTTATAATAATCTGTTCTGTTCCTCATTTTTGGTCGCGCAGCGACATTGGAATGCGACAAAAACTGTAAGAGAAAGGATCGATTGATAAATGTTGTCAACCGCTGATCAGACCTAAAGGGTGGCTGGCTCGTGTCTATGTTTTGATTATTCTTTATAACTTTTATCAAGCTCGAAGAGCAGTTTTGTATCTGTATGAGTCATGAGCATTTTAAATAGTGACGAAATAATGTCGTCAAATTTAATGTCCCAAATCAGACCTAATGAAAAGCTATATGTAAATTCAGTTTCAATGTGTATTTTTTGTAGACCCTGTTATTCACGCCGATTTCTCCCATGTCTCTTGTGGTCCTGGTTCTGCAAATGGTACTTGCGTTTTATGGAACGCTTCTTTGGTTGGTATAGTGCAGGAATCGCCAAACATCCACTGATCACCATCCAGTTGTGTCTCATGCTTGTCAGTGTTTGTTCTGTGGGCTTTGTTTGGTTCAATTCAGAAAACAGAACCGTAAAATTGTTCATCCCTCAAAACAGCAAGGCAATAGATGACTTGGAAACTGCCGAGAAATACTTCCGTGTCAACTTTCGAGAAGAAATCATCTTACTGGCGGCCTCCCCTAGTAATCCAAATGTTCTTTCCCCAGAGTGTTTGAAGCAAGCCTTTAGGGCTCACAATGCAGTCATGGAGTTGAAATCTTTCACAGAACTCTGTGTCACATTGTTGGGAAACAAATCCAGGTCGCCAGAAGGGTGCGCGATGATTAATCCCCTAGAATTCTTGCAGTTCAATGAAAGCAAATTGAGCGGAAAGGACATACATGAAGTCCAACGGGAACTGGGTAAAGCCTATAACGACACAAGTTTACTCATGCGCAATGGACGCCCATTCTGGTTGAACTTTAACCGAATGTTTGGCAAGGCCACTCGAAAACATGGAAGAATTACTGACGCCAAAGCCTTGCAAATGATTTATCTCCTTCGTGATCCGAAGGACGATGATGCGAGTGACAAGATTCTAAATTGGGAGAAGGCTTTCATGGACAAAGTAAGCTCGTTAGTGGACAAACTTTCTTGCTTCGATGTCCATTATTCAAGCGAAAGGAGCTTGGATGATGCTATAAGTGCAAGTACCGGGTCTGATGTAAAACTAGTGTCGATCACATTCACCTTCATGATCTCTTTTGCTTGCTTCATGCTGGGCAAGTACCTTAATCCGCTGACCGGTCATGCTTTACTTGCTAATGGAGGGGTCATTGCAGTTGCCCTAGGGATTTTGTCCGGGCTCGGCCTTGGTATGTGGCTTCGTGTACCTTTTGTCAGTTTAGTTGGGTGCTGCCTTTCTTGGTTCTTGGAATCGGCATCGACGACATGTTCATCATCGTCGACGAGCTTGATCGGCAGCCACGTGACCTGTTAACGATTGAAAAGATCAAAGCGGTTATGAAGCATTCTGGTGCAACAGTTACCATGACAACAATGACTGATTTGGTGGCGTTCGCAGTCAGCACATCTACCTCATTTCCAGCTATAAGGTAAGCTGCTTAAATTGACATCCAGCAGAGCTTCTCCAGTTTGGGAAGGTGAACAAAAAATCATGAGGTATTTAGCACTGGCGTTAGTTTTTAAAGGAGCTGAAAGTTTTGATGATTTACTAAGTGACTTGCACATTTTACCTTTAAATTTCAGCTGTAAACCGGTTAAATGAGATGTCGAGCTGTGGCAGGAGCCGCTGAATTAATTTTCTGATAAAAATGGTCACAGTTCTTTGGGATATCTTTTTTCCCCTGCTTGATTGAGCTGTAAGCGCAAATGGTGACGTGAAATGTCATTTAATTAGCTTTCAAGTACTCAAGTTTCATCAGCCACTAATAGATTTTCTAATGTTGTAGATTTTTTCAATTAAATTGTCTACATTACAACTTAATTACTTTCTTTCCTCAGGTATTTCTGTATTTATGCCGCCTTGACAGTGACGTTCTCCTTCCTGATGGTTGTCACATTTTTTGTGGCCCTTATGACATACGATGTAAGAAGAATTAAATCTGGCCGCCGAGATTTCCTCCCATTCTGCCTGGCACCACGGCCAAAAGAGGATAGACCAGCATGGGATGAGCCTCTCCCCCAAACTTCAAATAAAGTTATGAAATACTGGGGCACATTCTTGACCCTTCCAGTTACAAAAGTTGTGGTTATACTCTTCTCTCTGTCACTGCTTGGTGCTGGAATATACGGAGTCACTCAGGTGGATGAGTCGTTTGATAGACGTGTACTGGCCAGAGATGATTCCTACTTGAGGCATTTTCTGACAGCTCAAGAAAAGTACTTTGAGCTGTCCGTTGGAGTGAGTATCGTGCAGACTGGTGAGGTTGATTACCAATTGAGGTCCACGCAGAACGAAATCAAGGAATTCACGAACATATTCAAGGAAAATGAATATTACAAGAACCAATCGCTATCCTGGATGGATGCATTTGGCCAGTATGCTAAGAAGACGAAGAGAAACATTAATGGCCCAGGTTTCCTACGAGAATTGAAAACATTCCTTCGTATTCCTGAGTTCTCGTATAACACACAGGACGTGAAGTTATCCGAGGATGAGACCAAAATAGAAGCTTCTCGTGTAATAGGCCATATGAAGGATTCTGGCAGCTCCACCTTCCAGAAAAACGCTATGCTCACACTCCGTGAAGACATAACAAAGAAGTCCAAACTGAATGCCTTTCCAATCACTCGATCCTTCATATTCTTTGAGCAGTACGCAATTACGTCACGTGAGACCCTAAGAAACCTGATAATCGCCGGCTTAACGGTGGTAATTGTCACAAGCCCCTTTTTGATAGATTGTACGGTGACGTTCGTGGTGATACTTAACTTCGCAGCGCTGGTTTGCGAGTTATTTGGTTTAACGGTAATCTGGGATGTGTCTCTGAACTCTGTTTCCATGATCAACCTGGTAATGGCCATCGGATTTGCAGTTGACTACAGTGCACACATCGCCCATGCATACATCACGTCAAGCAAAGTAACAGCCGATGAGCGAGTTGTGGATGCTCTGAGTACGTTGGGTGCAAGTGTTTTCATAGGAAGTAAGTCAGGAGCTAAAGGTTTCATCGTAACACATTGACGAGATAGGTAAGCATTTCCCATCATATGGAGATTGTGACCAAAAAGTGAAAGCAACCTGCCCTCTATTACTCCCAATATCCTCAGCTTTACATATGAAGACCTAACCAGCATATGTTTGCAGTGTACTCCTGTGATGCTTCTGGAGTAAAGTTGGGTTAAAAGTCACTGTAGCCTAACCCTTACCTTAATCTTTAAAGACGGGTTCTTAGTTTTATCCAAAGAACATTGTTAAGCCGTGTTTTTTTTTTCTCCCCTATATTATTTCCATCGCTTATAGTTAGCAGTAGTATGTCCGTTGTGAGTTCCCCTAATCTTTGCTTCTAAATATGTTTTAGGAGTCAGTACGTTCCTTGGCATGGTTGTACTTGCATTTGCTGCATCCGAGATGTTCCGAATTTTCTTCAGAATGTTCTTTGGCATAGTCATACTCGGGCTTCTTCATGGCTTGTGCATCATGCCTGTTTACCTGTCTTTGCTGTGCTGGAGACCCGCTTTTATCAGACCTCCCTCAGTTAGAGACACCAGTCGAAAATCCGTAAGTAAAGACATGACCGACAACATAACCAAAACAAATGTTCTCTTGGAAGAGGTGAAACCTTCCGTCGATACATCATTTCAGTCGCCACAACACTCAAACTCAAAAGAAAAAACTGAGAACCCAAGCAATGAAAAGCCAGCC